GAATGCTCCACTAGGTCTTTGATGATTACGTTTTTAATTCCAATATGACCCCCAAAATGCATATATTTGATTCGTCATAAAACAAAAGCGTTTCGTAAACTTTTACATTTTTTTATTATTCATTGTATATTTCTAACTACCAATGAAACTATAATTTAAATTGGCCAATAACTTAAAGTAAGATAATTCGTTGCATATTAGCATAAAAATATAATGGAATTTGATTGATGTCCCCCTCCCCCTATTAAATTAAACCAATTAATCGTTAGATTGGCGCCAATAACTATATAATATTAAATTTTCACGATACTTCTTACGTTGTTGATCATTAAATTGTGTTGCAAAATTCGTTAGGAATCATTTAATAGTTGATAATTATAAATCAAACTAAGAAATTATATAATGATTTAGTATCATCAACTCCTATTAACAAGTAAAGGTCAAGTTCTTGCTTACCAAACTATATGATGTTCACTTCATTCCATAGAATAAAAAAAAAAAAGGAAAGAAAAGAAAAGAAAACAGAAGAAAAGAAAAATTGAAAGAGAATACATAATATTTTTCCCCTTCCCCACCCATGAGATGAGATTATAAACGTGTGATGAAAATAGAGGTGGAAAGGGGACCCAATTGAAGGGCACCAATGGAACATTCTCCGAGTTTTGATCCTCATGGGAAAGGACTTTAGTGGCGTCAAAATCGATTCACTAATCATTGCTTCCCCCACTAAACCTCAAATCTTTAAATGGGATTATTAGTGAAAACACGTAGTAATAATATATTGTAGGTTTGACCATTCTAGGCGGCTACATCTCATTGGAAGAAACCACATCACTACGTCAACTTTGCAAGTCAAAATTGCAAAAAAAAAATAAAAAAAATAACATGAAGTATCTTTCCATAACAAAAGGTCAAAAAAAAAGAGAGAAAAAAAAGCAATACAATATATGTGTGTATGTGTTAAAAAAAGGAAATGAAGAAGGTAATAATGGAAGTAATGGAAACATAGAGAAGAAGAAGTTGAAGGGTGTGGGAAGCTGAGCAAGTGGGAACCCTCACCAAGCCGACAAATCCCCGTTTGAACGGGACAACTTGGTAGTTGTGTTATATTTTTCTGTGGCATACACTTTCCTTCTAACATGGATACTCCTTAGCACTAAACCACGGTGGCTTTGGGGATTGTGGGTGGATCCACCGTCACCACCACCACTTGGATACACCTAGAGGTCCTACATTATCTCCTGAAATAGCAAACCTAACGTGATTCGATGTTCTCATTTTTTTTAAATTTTTTTTGAAAATACTTACTCATTTGTATTTTTTTTATTATTATATTTGAATGCTTGTCATCATTGAATTTCAAAATTGACTAGTTTCATCTTTAAGGTAATATAATTTGCTTGATGCATTAAAAAACTGCCTCCCTTTAAAATCAGAAAATGCACAAATTATAATAAAAGCTTATGTTAGTATCTATAAATGGTTTATCAATAAATTTTCATCAATAAAATTATTTAAAACTTTTCCTAGTAAAAAAAACCTTACCTGATATAATTAAAAAAAAAATTCATTAACATTCCTTGGTCTCTTTCAGCATATGTGCGTTAATGTAAATGTAATGAATCTAAAGGGTAGAGAAGTGGTGAGCACACTTCTAAGTTGGTAGGGTAATTTAAGTAGTTTGATAAGACAATTAGAGAAAATATGCGGTTGTTTTAAGTTAAATACTAATTTTGAATTTAAGTTTTAAGTACATATTGGTGTTAATAATTTAATAAGGTGAACTTTATCATTTATAATCATAGAAATATAAAATTGTTAATTAAGCTGGCCTATTGTACATTCTTCGAGTTCAGTAAATTTTCATATAAAAAAATATATTAAAAAAATATAAAATTATTAATATAACCTTATTCACTGCTATAAGTTAGAAGTTAAATTTTTTGTGTTGAAATGGATTAAACGTCCATATTTATTACCGGAGAGAGAAAATGGGTAAAAGGTAAAAAGAAAATAAATCGGCTATTAATGTGCGCGTGTCACTTTTAAGCATTTCACAAGTAGTGGAGGGGCCATCATGGCTCGGCTTCAGCCAAACCTCTTTAGAAAAAAAATGCGCATACACACTCAGCAGTTAATACTTAATACTCAAAACATGCGTGCGCCGCGCCGGATTACGCTTTTTACAAAGCAAACACTTTCCTTTTAAATATAAAGTCAAACAAACTTAGTAAATCGAAAAAAAAAATGTAAATTAAAATATCATTATTTTATACTTATCATTTCTCAAGCTGCTTGAGATAATATTATTTTCGGTTACTAAATTATAATCATACAAAGATGGATCAATTAATATAAGAAAATAAATAAATAAAACGACGTAGTTTTGGAGTAGTTGGAGATAAACTTATCTCAAGCTAACTTGAGAAATATTTTTCCGTATTACTTTTGTAGTCCAATTAACTATAAATTATTTAATTGTTATCCAAAAAAAAAACTATAAGTTATTTATTAACTTTCCTCCAATTTCAAAATCATTTAGAAATTTATTATCACCATCAAACTATACGCTAACATAAGAATTTTAAAATTCAAATGTTTATTAGATCAAATTGATGCGAGGACATATCTCCAATATCATAGCGAAATGTTTGGGAATGGTCTAAAGAGATACGTTGATAATGTAATTTTTAATATATTTTATATTATTCAGTAAAATGTAATGTTAAATTTATAGATAAAATGTAATGATGATAATATTCTTTCTAGTGTGTGATAAGGATGAAATCTAAGTAAAATTGCATGAACATTTTTCGGTTAAAACTTTGAAAAATAGTTTTCTTATTTTACATGAAAATTTTTTCTCATGCTACATTCATAATATATGAGTTGGTCTCATCTTAACTTTTTTGTCTTCTTATCTTTTTTTGTGAATGTAACATTAGAATTAGAATGAGAAAATTTTCTCATATTCCCTAAAAAGTTTACTCCGAAGAGATTGTATATACCATTGCTTGATTGGATCGAATGGGTTTGGGGACAGTGGGTCGCATTCGCTGCTAAATTACGGTACATGAATTATTTTCAAGGGAGAGTGTTCACCACGCGCAGCATGTGGACAAAAGAGCTACTATCTTGCAATCGATTAGGGAACAGAGGGAGGTTGATGATGAACCCACAATGTATTAAAAACTCAAGTTGATTGCATTCGCTGCTACATTATGAATTACCAAAATTAAATATAGGGAAATAATTTAAGGGATCTATTTTATTAAAAAAAAAAATTTCTTGAGATAAAATAAAGGAATTAATTGGGATTTTAAATTATTGAAATTGTTGACTGAGATTTGGATCTGAGCTTAGGGCATGATAGGATATGTAATAACTACGAATCATGTTATTGCCTCCTATCTATGGTTGAAATCAAGAAGCTTCAACTTTCTCTAACTTATAAGTACTAAAATAACTAAAAAAATAACAAGAGAAAAAGAAAAAGAGTCATCAAGTTAATTTCAAAGCTCTATCATCAACTGCTATTTCTTTCAATAGTGGTTTAACTAGTTGTTATCTTATTTCAAGTGGTACATATTATATAGCATTTCTCCATGAAGAGTCTTTTATTTTTCTAAAGATAGATAAAGACCGAGTACTAATTAAAAAGTTTTGCATGTTAAATTGATATTAACTAGTAGTCCTAACTTTATGTTACAAACTTATGTATTTTTTGGTTTTGAACTATTTATTGATTTACAGAATAAATTTTATATATTTTATCAGTTATTCTAAAACCTTTAAAGCACATCTTGTATATCATAATTAAACTCATTATACAACGTATATTGTGACTTGAAATGTACTTTTTCTCATGTATCAATTTTGCTAACACAAGCGAAACAAAGTTATATGGAATCATCACATGAAATCTGAAACAATATGATCAAGTTGGTATTAGTTAATTTTTTATTTTAATATTTTGATTATTAATTTATTATCTTAGCCGTTGAAGCTGCTTTTTGAGGACTATAAAAAAAAATTAATGCCTTTTATGTTATAGGAAATAATTTTATCTTTTAAATACACATAAAAATATACGAGACATGTTATTTTTTTTCCTCTTTTCTTTACATGGTCCAACATGGACTCCACATACTTTTATATGTGTATAGAAAATAAAATTATCTCCATATTATTATTTTTTTCACTTTTTTCTTCACATGATTTCATATAAATCCTACACACACACATATATATATGGGAAAGATGCATTTACAAACTTTTTGTACAAAATTTTACAAATTACACTATCTTCTCTCGGGAGAAGATAGTATAACTAGTGTTCTCCCGAGAGAAGATTGTCTGATTTGTAAGAGTTTGTAAACAAAAAAGTTTGTAAATATAACCAGCCTCATATATATATATATATATATATATAAGAAATAAAATTAGAGGGAAGTTATACTTACAACCTAATTTTATTTATAATCATATCTTATCTGTTGATTTTTGTCGATTAACGATTATTATTTTCACAAATTAAATTTATTAATTAATTATTAATTAACAATAAATAATAAGAGACGAAAATTAATAATTAAGATATAATTATAAAAAATTATAAATAATAATATGTTATAAATATAACTTTTCTCGTAAAATCAATAATCCAAAAAAATATGAGTTTTATTAGTGTTATGTTACATGATTTAAGAGTTATTTCCAAGACACACAAAAAATGGAGAGAGAAAGTAGAATGATGAAAAAAAAAAAAATATGTAGACCTACCTCTTTAATATGTGTGTGTAGAAAAGTAATATTATATCATATTACATGATAAACATAAAATCCAAAAAATATATGGCCTTGGTTTTCGCTTCTTATTGATTAGATCAACGTCCCAGTCCCTTTGATCTATAAATTCTGTGTCATCAGCACCAAGAATCGAATCAGAATTGGAACCAACAGTGACTTGGGTTTTCATCTCTTCCTTTCTCTCCATTGAGATTAGAAAGAGAAAAAAAAAAAAAAAAAGACAGCCAGAAAAAGCAACACAAGCATTATTACACAGTACTTGCTTGGTTGCTTCACTCTCACAATCTCTACCTTTTTCTTTTTGGTTATATATTATGGGAAAAACACTTCTTCTATATATTATAAACCAAAACACCCACATCAATTTATATATTTATTTATATAAATATATCTAGTTGAATAGTAACGAAAAGGGTCTTTATATTCAGTGTCAGAGTCTCTGAACCAAATACAAAAGACACCGACTTTGAAACGCTGCAGAGTTTTCTGTTCTCTCCCTGCTTTTGCGGCCATAGCAGTCTTTAAGAGGGTTTGGTTCTGCATTTTTTCTGAGCCAATTAGTGACATTAACACTATGGCTATTATTGTGCTAAGTTTTAAAGCTTCACATGATAAGGCCATATTCTGAAGCCCGAGATTTGCTTGCATTTAAAGTTTCCTTTGTCACAATCCATGAATGAGGAATTTTTAGTCATCATCACTACCCCATCACTGGCAGTGTACTAAGCTCAACTGAGAACGAAGAAAAACAAAGCTTCAAAGAGTAAAGATTTTCAAATCAAAACCTTGGAAGGAAGATCTGTTAACTGAGTTTTCTTCCTTTAAGCTTTAGGAGAAAGAGACATCTCGAACAAGGTTAGTGGAAAGTGAGTAGTATTAAATTTTCTTCTGTTTTGGCTTCATTTGTTAGTTATTGGTGAGTAAAACATGTACTCACTCTGTGCCCACTTTTTTTTTTTAATTTTTTTTTCTCTCTTCCCCATATCTTTTTTCTTTTGGATTTGTGTGGGGAAGTGTTATTTTTGTTTTTGGAATTCTGCAAAAGGAATTTCCAATTATATGGATCTGGGATCTTTTTTGGCTTTCGTTTTCTGGGGCTAAGTTTTGATCATGGTTTTTGTCTCCTTTACTATCTTTTTTATGTATTTCAGATCCACAAGTATTTAGACACTGCCTTTTGTGTATAACCAAGACAATGTTGTCTCAAAAGCAAGCAGAGGAAGCAATAGTCACAAACTTCAATGAGACAGAACATGAAGGTGGGACTAGGGAAGAGGTGGGGGAACAAAGCCAATCCATGTTAAGTGTCAAGAGTTTCCTATGGCATGGTGGTTCTGTTTGGGATGCATGGTTCAGCTGTGCTTCAAATCAAGTAAAATTACCCCATCAAATAAATACCCTTTTTTAAAAAAAAAACTTAATGAAATCACTTATCTCATGATTTAACTGTTAAAGTTCTCATTTTTATAGGTAGCTCAAGTGCTCTTGACACTACCATATTCTTTCTCTCAACTGGGTATGCTATCAGGCATCTTGCTTCAGGTATTTTATGGAATTATTGGAAGCTGGACTGCTTACCTAATCAGTGTCCTCTATGTGGAGTACCGCACCAGAAAGGAAAAGGAAAACGTCAGCTTCAAGAACCATGTCATTCAGGTTGGTGTATTGTGTTGCCTTCACAAGCTACCACCACCACCACTGGTTTCTAATCTGTTATGTAGAACCACAGTGACTTAATTGAAATGATTCACACTGTTCTGGATTTTCAGTGGTTCGAAGTACTTGATGGGTTGCTGGGTCCTTATTGGAAAGCAGCAGGGCTAGCCTTCAATTGTACCTTCCTCCTCTTTGGATCTGTGATACAGCTTATAGCATGTGCAAGGTGTGAGATCTTTGCTTATTTTTAAAAGGGCAATTTGGAGTAATCTATAATCAGTTTTGCATCTGATTAAAAAAGATTTTGCATATTTTTTTTTTGTTAACCTTTTTTGGTTGGTTTTTTTTTATGTTGAGCAGTAACATCTATTACATAAATGACAAATTGGACAAACGGACTTGGACCTATATTTTCGGAGCTTGCTGTGCTACAACTGTGTTCATACCTTCCTTCCACAATTACCGTATATGGTCATTTCTGGGTCTTGGAATGACCACTTATACGGCTTGGTACCTAGCTATCGCATCTATCATTCATGGCCAGGTAAACCAGTGGACTTTTAACTGGAATAATAATGTTAAAAAGTAAACATTTTACGTTATCATTCAAAATCCAAATATTTTATTAAAATAACGGGATTTGGATTTTGGATAAGTGAATACGTGACGATGTTATTTGATCGTAATCAATTATTGACGATGATTTGTAAGAGAAAAAATATATAATTTTTAAATAAATAATTATGAACAAATAAGAGAATTCAAATTCATGTTTAAACTTACTTTTACAAAAATTGTATAACACTATATTATTTTGACAAAATAATTGAATTTTGAATCAATTACTAAAATGTTTTCTTTATGGTAAAAAAATGAGTCAAAAAGGCCTAAATCAGTTGGTCTATATACTTTAATTGAAACAATTACTAAGTGATATAATATTCATATTGCAAATCATGTTACAGGCAGAGAATGTCACACACTCGGGTCCAGCAAAGCTAGTGCTATACTTCACCGGAGCCACTAACATACTATACACGTTTGGGGGACATGCTGTGACTGTGTAAGCTTTCCTTTTCCTTAATAAAACATCATAATCTATTCTCCATCATCTTTCACTTGTTTCTATTTCTACACGGCTTCTCTTCGCAGCTTTTGCCGGTCCTCTCGTTTTTCGAGACTATACACGACAAAAACAAAATCATGCAAACATTTATCTCTTTTCTAATTGTACTATCTTTTTCAATTAATTAAACTTTGGAAGATGAAAAATTGCAACTCTATTGGATGGTTCCAAATTGTATGGTATATTTTGTCCCCTACCTGCATAGAGTTCTAGTTTTATGAACATGTTATGTCCGTGAAATTAAAAATAAAGAAACATAATTTTCATATTACATGAGATAAAATTATTTTTTTCAACATATAAAAAGTGGGTGGGATCTATTTTGTTTTTTTTTTCCATCTCTTTTTCTTTGGTTGATTTCATTTATTATTATTATTATTTATTTTTTTGCATGTTATGAGATAAATTAACATAAAAAAATATATTTCTCTACAAAAAACATAAACGCACAGTGAAGCCTAATAAAGAAGCCCCCGTTTTTGGAAATTTCAATGTCATGTTTTTTTGTGTGATTATTCTTCATAGTTGTTTTGAGTGTAAAGTAAAGTGAATAATGTGACAAATGTTGCAGTGAGATTATGCACGCCATGTGGAAGCCCCAAAAGTTCAAGTACATATACTTGATGGCCACTTTGTACGTTTTCACACTAACGATTCCTTCCGCCGTCTCCGTTTACTGGGCTTTTGGTGATGACTTATTGAACCATTCTAACGCCTTCGCTCTCCTCCCCAAGACCCGTTTCCGTGATGCCGCCGTTATTCTCATGCTCATTCACCAGGTAAGTTCGGTGTACGCTTTTCCTTGATTGGCACATAAAAGTCACAATGTAACAACTTAAAAGAATTATTATTTTTAGTACCCAAAAAAAAAAAAAAATTATTTATTTTTAAAAACAAAATCCAAAACAACGGAACTAAAAATAAGTGACCACTAATTCCAACTTTTTGGTTGGATTTTTATTTCCATATTGACTTTAATTTTCTTATACGGAAAGAATAAATTTTTTATACTAATCTTTTAGTTTTACATTGATATGTCATTTAATAAATTTAAATATATTAGTTATATAAGATGTTAAATTTATTAAATGAAGTGACAATTTTTTATTAAATAATATTACTGTAAAATATAGAAAATATATTATTTTATTTTTTTGCTGGTAGAGAATATATTAATTTAAATTATATTTAATTTAAATTTATAGAGAATATATGGCTTGATGTATAAAATATGTAAATGTGTTTTGTACACCAAAGTCAAACCTTTCATTTTAAGGACATCACTTTCAAGGTCATATTTTTTAATTTTTTAATTCATCTCTAAATTTATAAGGAAAGCAATCATATTAACATTATTTTTGACATATATCAATACACAATTCATTTACTATTTTAATGCTAGCATTCCCATTTTTCTTTTCTTTAGCCGGAATTGCCTTCTATTTTTATTTTATATCTCGAGTTTGTTCGAACCAAATTAAATTGGTTTGAATATCAAAGTGTTTTTAATCAATTAAATAATTCCCGTAACCTACCATCCAAAACCATTATTTTTAATATTTTTTTAATTCTAATACGTAATTAGTTTCATTAAACGATGATTTTCTTATAGTTTTATGGGGAAAAACATTTGTTGTCTATGGAGACAGAATATTTTTTTTTTACTTATGGTAACGTATTTTTATTTTTCCTGTCCCAAATTTATGGATGCAGTTCATCACATTTGGGTTTGCTTGTACTCCATTGTACTTTGTGTGGGAGAAGGCTATTGGGATGCATGACACAAAGAGCATTTGTTTGAGGGCACTAGCAAGGTTGCCAGTGGTGATACCTATATGGTTCTTAGCTATAATCTTCCCTTTCTTTGGACCCATAAATTCAGCTGTTGGTGCTCTTCTTGTTAGCTTCACTGTCTACATCATCCCCTCCTTAGCCCATATGCTCACATACAGAAAAGCCTCAGCAAGACAGGTAAAACCTCTTCATTCATGTCCTTAACCATCTCTTCACCTGCCCCACCACCATATCATGTTATGTGTTTCTTGAGCCCCCACTTTTAATGAGTGGGTTCACAGCCAGAATTAGGGAAATATATTCAGTACTCTTGTAATACTGGAGACCTAGAAACATATTTTCTATACAAGGGGAATAGATATTCCTTGTCAAAAAAAAAAAAAAAAAGGATATAAGAGAAAATAATTGTAAAGGTAGGGGTAATGTAGATATTTTCTTTCCATATTTGGTAAAGGGTATACCCCGTGCTCGGTACTCTCTTAACACTGAAAATATTTTGGGAGACTCAACTTTATTTGTTAAAATTGAAAAAAAAAAGCAACACACCTAATTTTACTTATTCTACCCTGTAATGGCTTATATCACTTGAGTCCCATTTTTGACTAGTTTTAGTAAAGGAGTGTGTACTCACGTAACATGAGGATATGCTCCAAAATTAGATGTTACCCTAGTGGAATTGCCATCACTGAGTGGAGGCAGCAAATGTACAAAAGCATTCAAAGCTTGGATTTGGAATATTGCAAGAAGAATTGAGGCTGGTAGTGGGTCATTTTCGTTTAGTTATTTGCTACAGATGGATTATTGTACTATGCTTATATATGCTGAGCTGGTGTAGTTGACTGATCTCTTACCCCAATAATTCAAGTTAGGAGAAAGGTTAAAGGTGTACATGACTAGTAGGGTCCTCCAAATAGATCGAAGTTTAACCCCATAGATACTGTTGAAAATCTTGTGAAATCAACCCATTTGGCATCATTGTTGATCCCTTTTTTGGGAATTTTCTGAGGAACACAATAGTAAGTGTAGGGGCCTCCAATTAGTTTATCTAAATTTGTTTTTATCATTTTGCAGAATGCTGCTGAGAAGCCTCCTTTCTTCATGCCAAGCTGGACTGCAATGTATGTCTTGAATGCATTCATTGTGGTGTGGGTTTTAGTTGTTGGATTTGGGTTTGGAGGATGGGCCAGCGTGACCAACTTTGTTAGGCAAATTAACACATTTGGGCTTTTTGCTAAGTGTTACCAGTGCAAGCCTCCAACGCCACCGCCACATGTTGCGGCAGCTCCACCACCCCATCATCACTAAAGTCAAAGCTGAGTCACTCACCTCAACATAGTAGAGTTCAGCTACAATCAATCACATTTCCCACAATAGTTTGTATCATACATGGGGGAGAGTCGTGAATACTTCCCCCTTAATTTGATGTGTGCTTTTCTTTTTTTTGTTGCATATTTTTGTTCCTCTTCTTTGTTATATAGCTTTTTTTTTTTTTTTTAATCCCCTCTACCTTTAAGATTAGCTGATTAAAAATAGTGTGTCAAATGTTATGATTCCTTGGCTATGAAATGCATAGGCTAAGTAAATTAGATACGTATGTTTTGGTATCTTTCTTTCTTTTTTGTCCTCTTTGTTTTGATTGGGAGATACTATAAGATTTTGTTTGCCAATATCATTATTACATTGCATGTTTTCCGGAATATGCCTTTAGAAAAACAATTTATAGTCTTATTTGCTGTGTTGAAGGTAACGTGGTCTGAGTTCAAAAGGTGGTGTGCGCTACTTGTTTATTCCCTCCACTTAAAGCTTTTAGATTCCTCTCTCATTCTTCATTCATAGTGAGAAATGGGGCGTGGACCCATTTCATATTCACATGGGCTGCACCTCTGCATGTGGGTTCATCTTCTTGTCACGTGCCATTATTACCCACCAAATACATTATATACATTATATTATAACCTATATTTTCATGATACATGAACCACCACCCCTTTAATATTTATGGGCCATATGTCATTAACCTCAATTAGTTTATACGTTTACGTTTACTATCATTAATTTTCATGACCAATCAAACCTCTTTTTCCCATTGATTTTGATAAATTTAAAATTCTAGTGTCATTTCAATTCGGTGCACATGCATTTGATATTTGGCAGATGCATTTTTCAGTTCTGATGCGAGAAAAGTAAGCGCGTCAGGATCTTGACACAATGTATATGTAAATATACGGTCAGATTAGAACCTCATATGATATTCTTTCTAGATATGGAGAAGGGGAATCTACATATCTTTCTTGTAAGTGGAGCTACTTTTATGTGCATGTTTTACAAACGCTCCCCTCTCATAAGTCCCAATTCCCCAATTTCATGAAAAGTATAGGAATATTAATGGACGTTAATGAGATTTGTTTGCTTTATTTGACCTGTTAATCTAGGCCTAAACATTGTCAGCATATAGCGCTCGAGAAGAATACAGTCCATCTATGCTGAATAACACTGGAGAAAATTTAGAGAAATGAAGTTATACACTTATAATTTGTTATATATTTTATTTTATTTTATTTTTTGGTTGTAATTTGTTCAGTAATTCTTGGGCTTAACATTTCAGCCTATGATGCTCGTACTATATCTAGCTGCATAATGCATAAGTGTTCGATCCAAAAGAATTGAAGAGGAAAATCTAGCAAAAATCTATTGGGTGAGTATTTATTTTGATTGTGTTGATTTTATAAAATTGAATTTCGTTAAAAGTAAGTTTAAAGTGAACATAAAAAGTTATATCTAAAAAATAATATAAAATTATCAGCATAACGCAAAAGTTATATTTTTGGACTTGTAGTCTAATTACTTTTCTATATATAAAATCATGTTTGATTAACAAAAACCGAACCTATTTTTTATTTTTTTGAATAGAACTATCTTTCTGTCTGGAAATGGAAGATTGAGGTTCCGCGAGGTGTACCCAAACATGCTAATTATCATATTAATCATGTTTACTCCTAGAGTTTCGTGAAGATTAAAACAGCCCCGAAACAAGTAAGCTTGAGTATGCTTGGTGTAATGTTCAATCCGTGAATCCATAAAGGTCGAAGCCAGCAAGAGCTGTTGAAGCCTTTCTCCTTAACTAGCTTCTTTAAAGGCCATTCCTCAACGGGCCAAACCTAACCCATCAAAAGCTCAAAACCCTCTTCGACGAGGCACTAGCTTCATCGAAGCCCATTCTCCAACGGTCCAACCCATAGAAGCCAAGAGTGCCCCTAAGAATGCAAAATAGCAGACATCATCTTCCTCCATACAAATATCCCCCAAATGATTTAGTGTAGCTTTGAGTTGGAGTAGCTATAACCATGGTCTTGCGAGATGTACATGTAAGACATCCGACGCTCAAGTCAGATTTGGTTCAAGCATATTTATTCATGTTGAAAAAGATGTGTATTTTAGGTTAACACATATGACTTTATAGCAGGGAGATGTCCAGTTTTATGGAAATATGCATTTCAAGTTGGTTGTAAGTTGTGAGGCGGCAAGTCTCTCCAAATGGTTACTATGGTTGGCTGTGATAAGGTCAGTTTGTTGAAAGTAGCTTACCAAGATGTAGCATTTGTTGAGTTAGGATCTTTCTTAATGATGAAAGTGTTGGGAGGAAGATTTTTGAGAAAGGTAAAGGTTATAAAAAGATATAGAGGAAGAGAACACTTTTATTGCTACACAACTCTTTTTTTCTTTTGGCTTGATACAAAATGATGGAGATGACCCCTATTTATACTAGTGGCACCTCCACAAAACAATGGTTCCAAATAATTCTTGAGTTTTCTATACTAGCCTAATACAAATATTAATTGTGGTAGGTGCAACTACCCTTATTAATAATGGTAGGTGCAATTACCCTCTAAAACTTTTATGGAATTGACTAGAATAGAAATTTTTAGATCTTGGGCTAAACTAACTCCTAAAGTATAATTGTAGATGTTGGGCTAAATGTATACTAAGCTCAATGGACCAAAAACTAAATCAAGTTTATTTATTCTACATAAAACTTTGAATGTGGGCCTCATTTAAGGGCCTTATATTAATATTCCAAATTAGAAGTCTCCCAGTTCATTGAAGATATGAGTAGCGAGATGTATTAGTCTCTGGGATAATTTGTCTGTGTGTCAACCCAGCAGATTCATTTTAGTGTGTTTTTATTTTGCATTATGCTCTGTACTTTGCAGGTACTTCAGAATTTCACAACAATATTTGTAGCATATGCATTTCATAATTCATATATGTGATATTTCACATGCTTTTATATCACTAAGGGAACTGAAGTACCCAACGTTACAATAAATTAAACTTTTATATCTTGCTATAACCGATAAACTACTGTCATGTGACTGCTGCATCAAGAGATAATGTAGTGCAAACCAATGATTTTGCTACTGCCATTTACGTTGCATATTTGGGGAATTTTTAGGTTTTTCCCGCACATCAACCCTATGATTTCCTACCAGAAAATGCTGATACTTGGAGGTTCACTTCATCATGGCAAGCTGCATAATCTCCATATCCATGGAGCTCTTCATCTCTCCGGTTCATCACCAACCACGGAGATCAGTGTTGTATTATGAAACAATGATCACTAATGTTAACAATAACAATAATAATGCTTGTTAATTGGCACAAAAATTTAGATAAAAAAATCATTGACATTCTTCTTATATGTGAAATACATATTATTATACAACTCAATCCCGAAATCCCAAGCCTAACCTATGATCCCATTGACATTCATTGGTGGCATTGCAGGAGGTGGTGCCGCCCCCGCTAGTCGTTGTGGTGATTGAAATAACAACTTTACGAAAATTTGAATTAGCATCCACGCTAGTAGAACCACAAAAAGCAAGACAATGATAATTAGAGGAATTATCCACCACTGTCTTGGGAACTCGAGAGGTGGAGGAGATGGCAGCTCTGGCAACGGTGTTGTGAGCTCAAAGAATAAGAAAAGGAGAAGCAATCGCATTATGGAAGAGGGAAATATTTATAGTAATAATGTTGTACGGCTGTACCATTCACTTAGTGCATCCCACCAATAGAAATTGAAGAATAACGGTTTTTTTATACAGAAAGAAAAGAAAAATATTTTTTTTACCCAAGTGTTACTTGTTAAATAACCGATGTACTACTAGATATACAAAAAATGATCTCATGGAAGGGAAATATTTACAGTACTACTACTGTACTATTTATTTAGTGCATCTGACCAGTAGAAATTGAAGAATAATAGTTATGTTTATATAGAAAGATGAAAAAAATATTTTTTTCATCTTTCTATATAACTTGTTAAATGGAAGGTATACCCGCTACGGATATAAAAAAAATGATGTCATGAAAGAAAAATATTTACAGTATTACTACTGAAAATGATTCAGGATCTAAAGTAATTGGACTGAAACTAAAAATCAAACTGACTGATATTCAGTTACAACTAAGTAGGTACATAGTGAAGTGGGTGAAAGTGACAGTAAAGCGACACAACTCCTGAGATTGAAATAGTTCGTGAGAAAATTTCCTTAAGGGCTCCTGCACTTACTTCCAGTGTCATCTTCTTTCCACTAATAGACATTTTCACCAAACCACTTCAACCTAAGCTCTTTTTAAGGAAATGATGTCCAAGTTGGGATTGCTCAATGTTCACCTCCCGGAGGTAACAGACTTCATACCTCAGGAGCTGTACAGCTTTACTGTCACTTTCACCTTCGTCACTGTGTACCTACTTAGTTGTAACTGAATATTTTTTTTCAGTTTGATAGTTAGTTTCAATTGAGGGAAAACATTTTCTCCTTTTTAAAGGAGAAATTTTTTTCTTATGTTAATGACCCATAGCATAAGTGGGTCCCACAAAATAGTGGGAAGAGAAAAAATTCAAGGTGGGACCCACTTATGCTTTGAGTCACTAACAAAAAATTTTCTCTTTTAAAAGGAGAAAATGTTTTCCCTTCAATTAAATACCTGTAGTTGGTTACTGTATATATAGATAGTGTAAAGAACCTTGGGATACACCACCCCAAAAGCTAGCTCAAAAGGTGGGAATGCCAAAAAAACTTTGGGATACACCACCCCAAAAGCTAGCTCAAAGGGTGGGAGTACCCAAGGCCTTATAAACTCCACATTAGTTACATATACAACCAATGTGATGTTGGGCAAGTGGCTTCTTACACAGGACGCTTACGGAACACCTAGAGGGGGGGTGAATAAGTGTTCTCAACTTTTTCAAAATCTTTTTGAATTCAGTAAACAATTACACAATTTTTCTTCAATCCCTATATGCCAAAATAGTTTTTCGCAATGCTAAGAACAATGTAGTAATAGAAAGCGTACCTTAGCAATTTATAGAGTATAAACGCAGCAATTATAATAGAATTAGTGTAACTGTCAGTCTCTAAACAAAATATTCAGAAATTAAATCAGAGAGACAATAGACACACGATATATCCTGGTTCACACCCACTAAGCCTAAGTAGGGTGCTACGTCCAGACTGAAGTAGCTGCAGATATTTTATTTATCACAAGTGTACCAGTCTTACAAACACGCGTCACACATGCTATCAAACAAGATATCAAAGATCTTCCTAGTGCCTACACTGCTCCAAGCTCTGAGAATACTCTCAAGCCGAACCTACGGAGTTCACCAACTCCTCTCACACAAGACCTCCACTCTCCCTAGTGGATTCTTGAGGCTCCAAGCCGTGAGACACACTCTCAAGCCAAGCACAAGGTCGCCAACCCACACGGTTGCACCCACACACCTAGGACAGATTTACAGCACGCAACTACTCCACTTTAACAATCAATACAGAATTTTCAGAATTGTAACAAGTGAAATAAACCAAGATTACAGTGTCCTATCACACCAAATATATCACAGTAATATCAAACTAAGCTCCACAAATTTATGCCATATGCAGAAAATTAATCCAATGAGATATGTATTAAAATCTCTAAAATTAACGCACAAAGGAGCTTGGATATTACACAATTATTTTTCTAATCAATGGACACTAAGAAATCTGATTTAAAAAGAATATCACAATTATAACCAGAAAAATCAGATTTGAAATTTATCTCAAAATTTCACATAAAATTCAGAATTAGTTCTAGATAAATCTTTTAATAATAAACCAAAAGAAATCTGAATTTTAATCACAATATACTTCAATTGAAACAGAAAATTCAGATTTAATATTCCAACAATAAAATTTCTAGAACAATTAAAGATTATGTTTCTAAACAATAAATCCCAAACAAAAATCTGAATTAACACAATGTATAACAAGGTATAAAAAATAAATTCAGATTTAATATTCTTAATCAATATTTCACAAAAATTAGAAACACTAATCTTACACAAAGAGCATCAATATTTCTAAGATATTCACATAAAATCAAAACAGAAAAATCAAGATGCAAAAATCAGATTCCAAATTTTAACAGTAAATTTTAATACTAATAAACAACTCAAGAATTTAATATTCAGATTAAACAACTCAAAATCCCTAAAGCATATGAAATAACAGATCTGAAAATTTCAGATAAAATGCTTCAAACAAAGATTCACAAAGGATTTGAGTTGATTAAAAAATACCACAACAATGACCTAAATTCTTTATCAAAGATCCCCAAATTCTTCTCCAAGAAAATATGCAGCCACAACAACAGTTGAAGAGTAACTGCAAGACAGAGGAAGCAAGGAAAAAAAAATTGCTATTCTTTTTCTTTTGTTGTGCCTTCAAATCGATTAACCGAGAGAATGTGTTTCGCTTCTGTGTGCAGGTAGAGATTTCTCCAAGAAGATTATCCAGAAAAAAGACGGTGGTTTTTGGTGGTTTCCGTATATATGAGAGAGAGAAACTTTCTTTCAGTTTTTTTTCAATCGGGTTATATATGTAAAAAAAATGAGGTGCAACATTTATATTGTTGGGTATAGCTCATACTTCACATGATGATGTTTGCCCTAATTGTCGGGGTCAGCAGAAAGGCAACTGGGGTCCCGCTCCCAGGTGAGCGGGCGGGGGTCCGGGGGAGCCGCCCCGGCGGGGGTCCGGGGGGCAGCGGTTCACCCGTAGAGGCTAGGTAATGTTTAGGCCTCTGTTTCTATTGTAATTTTCTTAGCAGTTTGGGCTTGGGCCCATGAATAGCTGTTGTTAGGGTTTCTTGTAATCCTATTTATATTTGCCTTGTAAACCGAGAGACTTGTAACGAGTGGCGGTGAGGTGAATATAGTACAGACAAGCTGGACGTAGCCTATATTGGGTGAACCAGGGTAAATCATCGTGTCAATCTCTCTACTCTTATCTCTTTTTCTGTTTTCTCGATTCTGTGTGATTGTCGATTTCCAACAATTGGTATCAAGAGCTTTGGTTCTGCGACCAGGGTTCCTGTGACAGATTGGGGTTTCGCGATTTAGGGTTTTTTCTTGGCATAGATAAAACTGCGAAATTGATCTGGAGAGGATGTCGACTGGCCAATCACGGGTCGAGGTTGAAAAGTTCGGAGGAAAAGGGTTCGA